AGAGACATGTCTTTCTCCTGCCCTTGCTAGTAAATATATTGCCTATAGATTATTCCTGAGATGTATGGACTTGTACTGAAGCACTGAAAACACATTATAAACTTTTTAAAATAGTAAATTCTTTCTGTGTGATGGTGCAGTAGATCCCATAATAGGTTGTGCTTTGGGTATGTTGATGAGATTGTAATAGAAATTAATAGTAAGCATTTGCAACTGCTCAACTTGGGTCTATTTCCTTGTAGCTTTTCATGTCTTTGTATAATCAAATCATGTGAATTTATTCCATTGAATAATGAAATTTTAGGATTGCATTAATGGTGTCATTCAGGCAACCTACTCTGTGATTCCTAGAATATACTCTAACTACTAAATAGTGTTTGCAGGGTTCAAACCAGAGGCTGTTGCCTTCTTCCAGATCCCTGCGAAATCTGCTGGATGCAGAGATGGAGCTCTCAGCAGCACTGAGGCAGGAGATGGACAACTGGAGAAGGAAAGTAGCAGAGCAGGAAGAGCGACATGCCACCAAAGTCCAGGCCTTGGCACGGTAAGAAGGGCTGAAAAGGTCTCAAAAAGTAACTGCAGTGGAACAAGGGAGTAAAAAAGTCTGCATGCAAGAAAAATGTTTTTTTTTTTTTTCTTCCCCCAAAATACACAAGCTGGATTGTTGGGATTCTAGCTGTCAGATCTGGAGCCAGTGTGGACTTGTTTTGGAAGCTATTTCATTTTAATATTGCTCCACAGTGTTTCCTTTGGTAGGTGGTTTATGTAGTACCACACTGAGATTAGTTTGGGGACCCCTCTGCTCCCAGCAAGTTCTTACTCCAGTGAGTAGCAACTCAGTAAGTGCTGAGTGGTCCTAGTGTCAGTTGAAATTAGTAGGAATATTTGTGTATTTATTTATTGCTTTCAGTTATATAACATATGTCAGTATTGACACAGATACCCTTCTGTATGTGCCCTCAGGTGTGTAAGCAGTAAAGAATGGATTATCCATCCCTTCAGTGACACTTCCATCTGATCTGTCTTTCTCCTATTGGATTACTTAAGCATGACTTCATTTTCCATGAGCTGATGCTTTCTTGTCCTCTTGGCAGGTTTTCATGGCTGAGCATCACGAGCAACAGTTGTTGCCAAACATTATTAACAAACAAGTACCAATTTCTGAAGTGGTGCGGCTGTTTTCCCCTAGCACCAGGAAGATCAGCTCCAACAGGTTGCTCAGGACCATTTCCAATCAGGTTCTGAACATCCCCCAGCCCCTGTGGGCAGTGTTTTCAGCAGTGTTGCTGTTGCCTTTCTTCGCTATGAAGGGTATGTTGCTGACTTGTGGTCAGCTGCTTTTCCACCAGGACTCCCAGATCCTTCTCCATAGAGCTGTTTTCCAGCCCCTCAGCACAAATGGGTGCCTCAGGCTATTCCTCCCCAAATGCGGGACTCCACGTTTCCCCTTGTTGAACTTCATGGAATTTTTCTGAGTCCAATTCTCCAGCCTGTCCCAGTCCCTCTGAATGGCAGCACAACCCCCCTGTGTATCAGCTGCTGCCCAGTTTTGTGTTGGCTGTGACCTTGCTGATGTTGCACCCTGACCCAGCACCCAGGTCATTAATGAGGGTGTTAAACAACATTGGCCTCAGTAGTGATTTGCCTTCAGCTTGACTTTATGCCACAGCTCTACTGAAAGAATTGTAACCCTCCCCTCATCTAAGTGTGATTTAGCTTAAGAAAGACTTTCGAAGGTAAATGCTGCTGTAATAGTTTGATTTTTCTTACAATTCTAAATAATCTCTAGAGTAAACTATGATGTGTAAGTTCTTGGGGATGATTCACATGTATAGTAAACAACAAACCCATCCCAAGAGTTAAATAAGAATAGTAATCTGGGCCTTATCTCAGAGAGAAGGGTTTGTTTTCTGCATGCACAGGCTGAGTGCTCAGTGTCAGTCCTAAAGTGCCACAGCTGAAATTCCTGTAAGCTTTTTATTGAAAATGATAAATATAAAGCTTTCTTAAGGAAAGAAAAGTATTTAGAACACTACTAATTCTGCTTTTGGTGACACATCAAACCAAACTACTCACTTGGGGTAGGGAGAGATATGGGTAAGTGGGTTTGACATTCATGTGCTGTAAGGCAATAGAGACAATGCAAATACTTCAGTATTTAATATTCACGTTTCAGGTTCTAGGAACTGTGTATTCGTGTTTCTTTGACTCACTTCCCCCACAGTTTTAGAATTTGCAGTGACATATGGGTGAATCAGATATTTGTCATGCACATACCTTTTTGAAGAAAAGATAAGGAGCTTTTATAACAAGATCTGAAGAGATGCTCACTTAGACTAACTAGTTATTTTTAAACAAGTTTATGTAATTTCTGTTATTGTTACCGAGACTGGGTATGTTGTGTTGATTGCTCTTCTGACAGTCGGTTTGCCTTGTTGTGTGATAAAAACAGTGTTGGGAGCTGCTTAGGTACAACAAATTCTTGTGTCACCAGTTACTATGGACTTGGGATGCATTTCTTTAATGATTCATTGCAACTCATTTTCTAGCCTACTAACATTGCATATAGTTATTTTGGAATATAGGTTTTCCTTCTAATTTTTTTTATCGGTTCACTTTGTGCACTGTAGGTGATGCTGCTGCAATAGTAAGGGTAGTAAAATTTTTTAATAAATAATATTTTAAACCAAGGAGTTGGGCAAGATGAATAATCAAAAGAAGTTGAAGTAACAAAAAGTTTGCAATTGCTCTGTGAGTGCATAATACAGTAGGTGAATAAGAGGAAACTAAGTTTTAGATGTTTTGAAGTAGAGAAACCTCACTGTTTATGTTGAGAACAATTGATCACGTGACCAGAGTAGAAAATTTTCCTCACTTATAAAATTCTGAATATTTTAAGGCAAGGGAAATCATTCAGTAAGAATCTGACTGTTGTGATTTGATGAATGAATATTTTTCACATTATGAGATCTGATATTTATGTGTGTCCCCAAAGCTCTTTTGAAGAATTTGACATAAATGCCTTCCTGGAGGCTTTGAGAACACAAATTTCAGTGACACATCAGTCAGTGCTGAAATGATGGCTTCTGGATATCTGCAGTTACTCAGCTGGTCTCCTGGACTCTCCAGAGAGTCTCTACTCTCCTAGACAAAATGCTGGCTTACTGAGAGAAATTTTTACCAAGTTTACAAAGTTCTCTTTGAAAAATGGAAAAAATCTTAGGTAATTTCAGTTTCAAGTAGTGATAATCTCATTCTTCCGTGTGAAAAATTTGAATAGCTCTTTCATAACAGTTATTATATTGTTTCAAAAGGAGCAGTCTCAATGTTCAACCTATTTCCCAGTCTTCTGATAGAATAGACTCAATAGACTCTGTAGTATTATGTTGTCAGCTGGTTCTTTGTTGTTTTTTTTTTGTCCTTATCAAAGAACCTTTCTCAAATTCATGGACATATTGTGCCAGTGGCTTCTTGGCAATATTAAAGATTTTTAATTGAGATTCCTTCTTCTGTATGGAATGCTATTACATCCCTTTGCAAGGCAAAGAAATTTATTGAAGTTGACTGTGAAATTGGATAATCTCAGATTGCATATCCTTAGACTATATTCAGCAGTGTTGGAGGAAAGCATAATACAAAGGAGAGGCTTTGTAGCAAGAAAAGCAGATAGAGAAGATGAAAATGCACCGTGGAGGGAAATGGGGGATGAGAATTTTGGCTATACTTTGTCTTACACTTCTATGCACCTTCTGTTTACTGTAGATTCTGTCACCTAATTTGCCTCCTCTTATCTACTGTCTATATTACTTAAGCCACATTGCATTTGGATTTGGCATTTTATATTATTCTGTTTTACAACACTTCATTCACAGCCACAGCCCTTCAGTGATGGGTGAAATGATGTGTTGTGCATCTTGAAATGATTCCATCACTTCCCCTAAGCAGCTTCTTAGAGAGAGGAAAAAATATCTCGTTTGTGCTTGTGAAAACTAATTTGAATATTCCTATAATAAATGACTTTTTCTTCCTGCTTAGTTAGTTGGTGACATCTCACAAGTGACAAAAACATTTTATAAAAAGAGTGAGATACAAGATAATCAACTTAATCATATTTAGTAAGGGATGAAGGAGCTTCTTCTGGGAGGGAGCAGGAAGAAGTGGAGATTGGTTTTATAATATAAACTCATTATATTTTGTATAGTTCCACTTCTATTGATTAACACTGAATAAAATAGGGGTTGCATAGTTCAGAAAGCTGATTTGTAATCCATAGAAATATGAATATAGTACCAGTCAAGGCTTCTTATATGAGCAATGTGGCATTGCTCACAATAGCAGTTTATTTGTGTGTGTGTATATATACATAATATATGTATATTTTGTGTGTGTATGTATATATAGTATCATAAGGACCATCAAACATATTTGCATGTGTTTCTGAATACTTCTAATTCTCAAATAAATTCCCATAAATAAAATGCCTGCCTTTGTGTTTCATCTGTTTCCAGCTTTCTGTGATCTGTTACATGCCCAGGGTTCCATCACACCTGGCAACAAATGTCCTTGTCTAGTATCCCATCCTTATGTTTTAATTGATTGTTGATTTAGAGAGACTGTATCATTTGTTTGCCATCAATATAGCATAGTATAGAAAATCTAAATTAAACACTTAATGAAAGTTTCTGATTACAAGATAATCTGTTTCACTGATGTGTTTATGTGATCCTGGAAAACTAGTTTTCCTGATACTCTGCTGTAAATGTATTATTAATGTGTAAATCTTCCCCCCCCTCACTGGGGTGACACAGCTTAGGTAAAACTTATAACAGTGTGTTTGTTTCCATTGAAAAGGGCTTTCATCTATTTTGAGAAACCAATAATATTTATTCTGTTCTTTTTATCAATAGAGAAAATGAGGTGCTAAAAGTGCAACTCAAGAAGTATGTAGGAGCTGTCCAGATGCTCAGACGAGAAGGTCAAACAGTGGAAGGTAAGGATAACATGAAGGGGGAAAAAAATCCATGCACAGGGTTTGGTTTTGTGGATGCTGCCACTGAGAGAGAGTATATTGGAGGCATAGGGATGGGAACTAAATGATGGAAGTGACCCCTGGACTTGTAGAGAAACGACAGTGAAAGAGTTCCCAGTGCTTAGACCTGGCTCTGATTTACAAGAAACTTTTTTTTTTTCCCCGATTGATCCTGGAATGAATCTTTTTAGACAACGAACCACCCAGTCCTGTGCAAGCCCTGGTCTTTAACCAACTCTTCAGCCACACCACACAATCCTAGTGTGGCTGGGGACAGGGTTTGTGCTTCCACGTGCTGCCCAGTGTGATATGAGCTCTCCCCCTGTGGGAAAACATCAGCATCTGAAAAGATAAGAGTTCTGTTTCTGTGGGGACTGTCCCCGATTCATCTCTGACTGGGCTATTTGCTGTTGTGTGAGGAGTTTTGTAATGCAGATTGATGGCAAACAAAGGAATGTTATGTGATGGAATACTATCAAATTACTGCTGAGCAGAAACAATGAAGAAGTCTCTGCTTTCCTTGCTGAATCTTCACCAAAACAAATGAAATCATTTACATGAAACTGGGGATAGCAAGAGATGATTATAAGCCCTGTTTATTTCTTCAAACTATCCTAGAGTAATATCTCCCAGTAGTGAAAATAACATACTTGATGTATTTTCCTTTTGAGGACAATTACCGATGTAGATTTCTGTACTTATTTTTACAGAGCATTTTCTGGTAGATGAGGTGGCCTTACTTTTTTCAGTAAGAAACTTCCCAGAGAAAGCTGTCATATAAACAATAATCTGTGAATTACTGTGATATTGGAACATAAAAATAATTATTTTGGGGAGAGAAAATTTAGCATCTCTAGGTTATACTCTTACTTTGGAGATCAGGGTGTTTGAAATAGACTCTGTATTGAGTAGTAATGAGCAGGTTTTATATCTGAAAGATAATGAGTTAGCAGCAGGCTTACCTGTTTTTCTTGGGGTCTGTGATAGAAGTGTCCACGACCAGATGAATTGGAGCTTTGATTCTGAATCCTCTCCCGGTGGGACCTGTATTTCCACTGACTACAAAAAGGTGTTTTGAGGGAGGAGATGGCTTTTCAGAAATTGGCACCATCTGTCTGATGGTTTTTTAATTGTGAATATTGTGGCCCTATAAGTGGCTATATGAATGAATAGCACTGCTCTTAAGGGCTAGTCACTATACTTATCTGGAGTTGAAAAACTTCATTCATCCTTAAAAGGCTATTTGTTAGTGAGAACACATGTTTTTACTTCCGACTGTGCCGAGTGTAGTGATTCATATTAAGAATTATTCACGAAAACCATCGCTTAGGCTTCTTATAATAGCAGAAATTATCCTTCATTAAATAGTGACAGTTTCCATGATGAGTGTAATTATAGGAAAAGAAAAAAGTATTCCTAGGCTAGCTATATTCCACCATGTTAAAATTATGCAAATTAGTGAGTGGTAAGAATAGAAACTGAGTAGGATGGTCAGATTTTATAGATGAAAAAGGGGGATGGAACAGTACCAACATTTCTAAAAATGAACACATGTATGCTTTATGCTCCAAGGATACTTAATCAATCCACAGTAATTTTCTGTAATATTTATCATTAATGACCAGATTCAGCTACATGCACTATTTGTAATAATATTTTTTACATTCTAACTCACACATTGTATTTCTATAAAACTAGAATTATTTCCTTAGCTGCCATTGAAGATTTGGGTGAAATTTTAGTAGTACTGGGGCCTCTGACTCAAAGTAAGTATTTAAGTATGTAAATAATCTCTGAGAACTAACTGCAAAAAAAAAGAGTGAGACACAAGAAGTTTTTTCTTTTACCAGATTTGTAGAAACTATTGCACCCATGGTTTGTATACATAATAAATAACTTTAATGATAATTAATCTTCTTCCAAATGATATCAAAACAAAAGTCTTAAATGCATTATAGGTTTTAGAACACTGGGTTTTTAGATTTTCTGTGAAACTATTTTGAAAGAGTCAAAATAAATTGAGCTTCTGCTGCTGTTATTTTTATCACTATAAATAGTGAAGACTCTTCATGTTTGCTACAATAAGATAAAATGCTATTGAGTATGGCTTTTAAATAGTTTCCTAAAATAATAAATGAAACTCAGCATGATACTTTGCCTTGTGGTGACTTAAAAAAGCCAAAAAACCCCATTCAGCAAATGTGATTATAAATAAATTGCCCAAGAGTCAGAACTGAGTCGAGTTCAGAATATCATATCAGCTTTCAAAATGAGTGATCACTGCCGTGGACTGAGCAGTTTGATATTGGTATTTAAATATTTAATAAATCAGCATCTTGCCTTCTCAGCCATCAGCAGGAGTTGGCTGTGTACCATTTTTCAAACCCGCTTAGATAGAATATTATTTATATAAAAATGCTGATCTTTAAAGTTTCTGGCTGAAGAACTTCAAGCAATATTTACAAGGAAAAGATCTTGAAATAGCTTTTGAATTCACTTAAAGAATAATAAACTTCTGAATGCATATATTCTTCCTCAAAGCAAAAATCAGTTCTCAGGCTTAAGAGTATTTAGTCAGATGAAATACAGTGTCTTCTACCTGCCTTACAGTGGGTGTATATATAGTTTAGGTTTTGAAAAATAATGAAAGCATTTATTAAACTTCTCTTTTATTAGGGCTTGTTTACTTTTACGTGCTTTTATTTTCTTAGAAATTCGTGGAAAAAAAAAAGAACAAGGAAAACTTGAATTGAACTTTGTGGAACTTGGAGGGGATTTACTTAGAATAGGCCTTCAAAGTGATCATCACTTACATAAATGATGGCTGGGAACAGGAATAGAATAAACTGTAGTTTTCTTTCACTGCAGATAAAAGAAGTAATGGGCTTACATGGCAGGTGAAGGAAGTTTGATTAGCTATCAAGACAACTTTTATGAGAAGAATACTTAAATTTAAATAGATTGTGCAGAGAGGTTTCTAGGAATAAATTAGACAATTAAATGTCAGGAATGGAATAACTACAGCTGATTCTGCTTTATGCAAAAACATGAAATACTGGATAGAGTATGGAATGTCCGTTCTCAGCCCTGTTTTCTGTAATTTCTGTGATGTGTAAGCAGTCTGTGCAATATGAAATGATATTTTGGAAACCAAGTAGAAAAAAGTCTTAGAAGAGAAGCAGAGACTTAGTTTTAAAAGACTTTGGGCAGGATTTGCAGTTACTACCTTCATATATTACTCAGAAAACAGCCAATTGCTTTTAGTTTACATTTTTTATTCTAATGAGAGTACCACTCTATTGCTCACAAAAAAGGCTCTTTGCAGAATTTGTATTTTAGTCCTTCTAATACTGTTTAATATTACATTCTATTTTGATACTTTTAGTAACTGTTTCTTATAGAGCTGTTACTTCTACACAGGATGTCTTAGATGTTTCTGGAATTTAACATTTTAATTTGAGGTATCTCTTTGCTTTAGTTCTGCCAAACATTTGGAGCACTGATGGTGAATTTACGATTCCAGAGCAAAAGCAAGTAGAGAACAACGAGGAACTCGCCAGCTCTTATGAAAGAAAATTGATTGAGGTAAAGTTTGTACTGCACAAATTTAATAGAATCATAATTACATTATAACATTTGAAGCTTAAATGGTTTCTTGGCTTAGCTGTTATTTTTCTACTCAGTAATGTAAAAGGTAAGTCTGACTTTTTTTCTTCAAAAATAAAAGGAATGAAAAATTTAATTTTCTTGCTTTTGCGGGTAAATTTTCTTCATTCAACTTCAAGGCATATTTAAAGCAATCCAGATAATTAAAAGTACTTTTCTTAACAGAGGTACATTTTTATGCTTTGGTATAAAAATGAAGGTTTTAATAAATAAACAAGTTCCTTGAGGTTTTAACTGATGGTGGTGAAGTTGAAAACATCACAGACAGCAGGTTTCAGGTTTTGTGTAAATGACAGTACATAATTACAGGCATTGCTGTGTTGGCACTTGAGCTTTATTTAAAATGAGAACATACTGAAATCTGTAACTTTTTCTGTGCTTTCCTTCTGGTTTCTGATTGCCAAAACATGTTTCATTTTTGTGTTGCTTTTTGAATACTGCCTTACAGGAATGTATGATGGAAGCTACTAATTCTGTTATATGGCCAGGTTAGAAAAAGTTCTTAATGTGTGATTTACTTTTAAGACTAATGTAAAAGTCATTAAAGAAGAAAAGAGATAGATTAGGGTTTCATCCTAAATTTAAATACAAATTATTTTCAAGACAAAAGTAATGAAATTTAATATCTAATACTCATATCTCCTAGTAAATAATAAAAGAACATTTTTATAAAAAGTAAAAAAATTCTCTGTCTTTCTCTTGCCCAAAATACTCTGAAATTGGATACCCACATTAACTGATTAACATGAAGAGGACTAGAAACTCAGGTCATGCATCAAGGAGATTGATACAGTTCTAAAACATTCCTACTTGGTTATCCTTTTTTCTCCCTAATGCATACTTGTGCTTGAGTTCTTCTGACTCCTTTCCTCTGTTCTGTACCTATCAAAAGAATATCTTAATTAAGAACACAGGTAAAATCTCTTTCAGCTTTGAAAGCCTCCTTAGTTCCACCAAGTTTGTTCTGCATGCTCAGGGATTTGTTGCTGACACTTGTGAGTTTGTGGCAGACAAACCCCTGTAACAATCCTTCTTTAGAGGTCTTACCATGGCACACAGCCTTGTAATTAAATATTAGTTGTGTTGGAAATCAGTGTAGAAAACAGGTCTTAAATTAGTGAACTGGTCAACACTTTTCTGTGGAATCACAAGTCCTTCTGTAGCTTTCATTAAGTGAGACTATTACTGAGATGAGATGGAATTTCCTCTGTCCAGGGAAGTTTGGCACAAATATGGACTTCTTTTGCAGAATTTTTGAAACAGGAAGCAATAATTGAGCATTTTATGGCTATATCAATAGATTTGTAGAATTGTCTTTGTCACTTAGAGTCTTACTGTTTTTCACTTGTAGAAAAATGGAATTATTCATTAGTAGTAGGATACCTGCTCCTTTTTTTGAAGATCTTTGACTTTGTTTCTTTTGGGGAAAAATGTAGATCATCAATTTTTGAAAATGATGGAAAAATACATCCATGCTTCCCCTAAGAGCAAAAGGAAGCAACTTCCAGTTCTGTCTAGAGTTTCTTGGGAGATACAATGTTTTGTATTTTGTGACTACTGGGGGAAAAAATGTCTATATACTTGACAAAAAGTAATTGGTTCAGATGTGGGTTGTGCAAAACTTCTATGAATTTTAGCTGCAAATAATACTAAAAAGAAATCTTGAATTGTTGCAGGTTCTTAAATGTTTCTCTACTCTAAGTGTGTCCTTCCAAGACAGATTGTGTTATTCAAATGCTTAGTGAAACATTCCTAGCATGTTTTAAGTTAGCAGCTTAGTCCTTTGCTGTGAAACAAGAAGTGGTATAAGCATGTTTTCTGATATGGCCACCACCAAGTCTGAATGATCATCTGGCCAAGGGAAACTTAGGTTATTTGTACTTTGATTTTTTTTTTTTTTTGCTTCAAATATGTTGTTGTGGAGAAAAACAACTGTGAAGATGATTGAAGTCACAGTAGGGAAATTTGTTGCTTAAGCTTCAGTGTGGATTGATTAAAGGAAGATGTGATGACATAAGATAGAACTGAAAGAATATAATTATATGGAGACCTCTTTATTGTTTTTAGCAGACTTTGATATTAAAGAAAGCTAAATTAATGTTGTAATTCAGAAGTATAGGTGATCACTCCTTTGGGTTTGCTGTGGTGGTAATGCATTTTGCTTTGACAAGAAGAAGGACTGAAGTAACTTAATTACTAATAAGTGATACCTAGCAATTTGTCCTTTTGATAAGATGTAACAAGTGATTTGCTGTTAAATTTCCTTTTTATTATTTAACTTTGCTAGGGACACTTATAAATTTTTGTATTACTTCTCATGCTTTGAGAGAGTTGTTGAATTTACATATTAATCGAGTCTGCAAGTAGAAAGTTATTTCAAGGACATCCAAATTCGAGAGAGAGAAGAGTCACATATAATATCAGATAGTCTGAATTTTGTTCTTCTGATAGACAGGCACTGAAAAATCAAACATGATTTCAGATATGCAAACTACTAAGTTTTGTATCCATTCACAAATTTGTATATTGATTTTGAGAACCAGTCAACCAACTATCAGTATTATGGTTTTTCTCTGCGCATTTCCAACTAGTATTTTATATTCTATTCTATATATTCTCTACCTTTTTGTGTGTAAAATGCAAGGAAGTTCTGCCTCCCAAGTCTCTGTGTAATTAAAAGTGACCTGTTAGTATTAACCACAATCAGAGACTTATTATATCCTTAAATGTTACACCACTCACTTTAAATTGGAATTAGTGGTTAAACGAGTATGGAAAATAATTTATCTAGAGTAAGTGGCACTATATTAGTATTTTCTCTACTATAAAGTTTGGCTCCTTTTTGCATGTGTGTTACACTGATGAATTACTGGATTTGAAGGACTCCCTCTAATGTAAAAAGAAATTGGAAAAGAATACTTGAAGTTTACCTCAGGAAAATTATTTTTGTTTTTAATCAATGATGTCAGATCCTGCCTTGTCAAATTGAAGCTGCTTTTTTCTGGTTGCTTTGATTGCGTGAACAATACAGGTTGTGTGGAACAAAGCACAAAATTAAAAGTAAGCACTAAATTAAACTGAATTCAACTGCTTTATTTTGGGGAACTTCCCTGGGGAAGAGGGAAAAGGCAGAGTAATTCAAGAAAAGGAGCCCATGAAATTCATAGATAGTAATGAACTGCCTCCAGAAAGGAAACTATGAACTCTTAAGAGAGCTGGCAGCAGTCCAAGTCCCTGTGATAATATTGAAGGTGCTGGATTGATATTCATCTTATTCAGCTGTGTTTCATATTGTTACCCCGTTGCCTCTGCTGTTCTCTGAGCTTTGGATGCTGGTATGAGGAGGCATTTGAAGAGTTGCTGTAGCTGCAAACAGGTGTAACCATAGTGGTGGGGCAGCTGCTGTGCCCACTGGGGGGGCCAACCACTGAGTGCTGCTGTTTTCTTCTAATTACTGTACACTTCACATCCTTGATGTTCACCCAGCCCTTGTCACATCCTGCATCACTTGTTGCTTTCCTAACTCCGAAATGGAGAGCACACACACAGAGCCAGACTTGGGGGCTGAAGAGGCCCCACGAGAGGCCGAGCTGTTTACCTGTGCTCAGCAACCTGTGCCCCAACTAACTGGTATTTAGGCGCCTTTGGCCCCTCACAAATTTGCCTGGGATGAGTGGACTTCTAGCTCCAGTGCTGTTAAAACTCCAAGTAAGAGTGCAGAATACATCACTCATGAATTATTGACAAAGTTAATGCAGTTTGTGCATTTGCATTACTCCCAGTTCAGAATACTGTGATTGGTTTGTGCCTGTTGAGGGCTGTGTTCATTGAAGAATTAAACTGAGAACAAAAGTTAATGAGTGTTTTATTAGAATCAGTTGTCATAGGATCTCCCGTGATAGGAATAAAATTTGACATAGAATTGTATTTGGTCCTGTTGAGTTCAATATCAGAATTACACTGCAAAGTATGAGTCAAAATTATAACAATCTCTGTTCTTAATGGTCAAACTAATGCATTAGCAATGAGATGCACTCCTTGGGAGAGTATGGCAAAATAAAACAAAACCTCAATAAAATTTGATGTACATGTAAGAAATTACATAGTGTGATTATTTTATTTTATTTCTTTTGCAGTTTAGAGCACAATTACTTCTTGACTTTGCTTTTCAGGTGGCTGAAATGCATGGGGAGCTGATTGAATTCAATGAGAGGCTGCACCGTGCCCTGATGGCTAAGGAAGCTCTCGTGTCCCAGATGAGACAAGAACTAATTGATTTGAGAGGCCCGGTGAGTGTTTGTTTATGGCACTGTAGAATCTACCACTCTGGAATAAGCTCAAACTCCTGATGAAATATATAACAGCTTATAAGAAATAGCAGATCTGACAACACCACCTTACTTGTTATTTTTGATAGCATTTGATTCTCGTTTCTTTACAAAACTATAAGCAAATTCTAACACGAAGGACTCACAAGGGGTGATGTGTTCACAATCCTTCTGAATTATTTTGTTTTTCTTTTATTGTTTCTCAGTAAAAATTTTTATTGACATTTATAAAATTGAATGTTGAATTGTAATTTCTTTATAATATTGTGCTTTCTTAGTTGAAAACCTAATAACCAGTGTGTGGGAATTATTTCTGTTTTGTAAACACAGGTCCCTGGAGATTTGAGTCAAACATCTGAAGATCAGAGTTTGTCAGATTTTGAAATGTAAGTTTAGTAATTAATGAATTTTCTCTTCATACTGTCTTTATGGCAAAGAAGAATAAGCAAACAGATTCCACAATTGGCTTTTCCTATGTTATTTCCAATAACTGAATTCTTAGCTGTTCTGTTATTAAATGTATGGAGAGCTGCACATTCCATACCCTAGTGTAGTTTTTAATAATGTTGAATGCAAGGAGTTTGGATTTAGCTGAGTTTTGTGGACCAAAATGTTGGGTTTGATGAAATGAATGATTTTTGTTTCATGCATATAATCAAATGTAGTCAAATCCATGCTGTGAAAAAAGAAACAAAACCCAGAAAACCTGCAGAAGGAATTGTTTCTGTGCTCTATATCAGTATTTCAGTTGGGTTACTTTTAGGGAACACTTTTAAATACAGCACATATAAAAAGTTCAGGCAGAACTCCAATTTTTCTGATACTTCATTTGAAATGTTAAGTTGCTTTGTTGGTCACTTTGATCATTATCTAAACCATTGGATGTAGTTGCTTTGCAATTCATACACATAAATATGATTCCCTGTTTTAAGTTTTTCTCTCTCCTCCTCAGATCAAATCGTGCTCTTATTAATGTTTGGATTCCCTCAGTCTTTCTGCGTGGAAAAGCTGCTAATGCATTCCATGTTTATCAGGTAAGTGATAAGATATATCTCAACACAGATTCTGTATGAAAGCTTCTGACTGAAATAGAACATTTTAATAATTTAAAGATCTCCCTATAATTTCATTAGAGATCAGCTAATGAACAGGCAGCAGTAACTTCATATATATTCAACCATAGGATTGTGTTGATTATCCAAATAGCATATTTGGAGGGTTGACTTTTAGTAGTTTAATACTTTAAAAGCATGCTAATAAGATGACTACATTGGTCAGGGAGTGCAGCAATTCAATGTTAGTCAGTAATGCCTTCTTCAATGTGCATGTACATGTTTTATTTCAATTTTGGAGATAACAATGACCAGAAATATTACTTGACAGACAGACAGGTGTGGCTTACTGTAGTAGCTCACTTAAAAACATTTGGAATGATGAAACAAGTCTTCACTGTGTGTCATTGAGTGTGTTCATAGTGTGGTCTGCTCAGGCAGGTCTGAATTTAGGGGTTTGTGCTCTAGCCTGACTTGCAGTTGAGGCATTGAAACCTTATACTGTTCCTTGATTCCTGGATTCTTGACACTCTCCATGGATAGAATGGCAGGGCAAACTTTAAACACTCTTTAATATGCTGTCCCAGGCTGTTTGTATTTCTTTATTTGGGGATTATTAACAGCTGCAAAATTTCTCCACTTTTGTTTCAGCCACATGTAGTTAGTTCTGAACAAGACTGCTGAAGCTTGTTAACATTCCTCTCACTCTGAATGGTGGTTTTTGTAGAATTTTGAATCATTTATAAAGTGTTGGCAGATAGTTGTAAAATATAGGAAAACACCCACCTTCTGGCCAGTAATAGAGAATGAAAAATAAGACTTTAGGTAATGGAAAGAAAAGCTGACAGTATGGAACAGTTAGTCATTTGTTCAAAACCACTGAATAATCAATCAAATTCAGATGCACAAGTGAGTGTGGAAACCTGACTTGCTGACAAGAGCAATAATTTTTGTCTTTCTGGCTTTCACATGTTCCTCCATTCTGCTGTCACTGGCTACACATTCTCAAACCCAGACATCAGTCTGCCAACACAGAAATGATTAAAAGCCTCAGGATCTCACCCCACCAAATCTCTGCTACTCTTATAATGTAGCAGTTCCATGACCACTAGAAGAGCTCTGGTTTCTCTTGCTTATTTCCCAGGTTGCTCTGTTTTATTCTTTTCATCCTGCTGGAGCGGGGAGGTTGGGCCAGATGACCCACTGTGGTCCCTTCCAACCTGACTCATTCTGTGAATTCTTTGAAGAACTTACTGTATTTTTAATTTCACTTGTAAGTTGGTATCGAATTAGTTACTGAAGAGCTCAGTACTTGTCATGCAGTTTGACTGAACATGACTATATGAGTGGCATCATGAAAGCCTGGAAATTATGCACAATTCACATATGGTATAGATGTTGTGCATGTTCTTTTTCAAAAGGAAAAGTGCAAAAAGCTTCTCAATTGGCAAGAGGTTCATTACTTTGCCCAAATCTGCAGGAGTGAGTAGAGGATTAGATGTTGCTCTCAGACTTCATCTGTTACTTGTCATCAGTGGAAAACAAAGAACTTGTAATTGAAGGATAAGCCTCTGGAGAATAGGGAAAAAGGAAGCAAAATATTGCAAGTTCCTAAAAGATTGGAAATTCTGGATCTGCAAAAAGACAATTTTGAGAATTCTGTTAGATTCTTTATGTCTACAGTATAAACTCATAATGTTTGACATTCATAGAGTGCAAAATTGGTATATATGAAAAATGTACAAGTTCTTTTGAATATGCTCTATTCATTACCTATTCACAAAAGCAATTTACAGATATATGTAATGTGAAAAGTAAATATAGCTATCTAGAATACACATAGAATGTAGTAAGACCAATTTGTCTTTAATTACAGAATAGCACAGAATTCTTCGGGTGAACATTTGTCCATTTGCTCAACTTTGTCTTTTAATTGTTCAAAAAAAGCAAACAAGAATTATCTGTAGAAGTGACTTAAAGCTTCCATAATTCTTATTAAACTTTGATCATTGTACCTGTTGTGATCTTTCCTTGGGGAAGAATGGATTAATGGCGTTCCTACCACTTTTTGATCTCAGTAACAGATGTGTGACTGGGAAGAGTATCTGTCTGGCAAATAGCTTTGTTTTCTGCCACTGTGCATGTGAAAAAAAGAAATTTTCCTAAATAAACATATGCTCTGAGCATAGCATGTGATGAAACATCTGAAGTGATTGCCACCTCTCTGATCAGTTATGTAGTCACATACTTGCTGAATATATATTTTACATTTTATAGTGACCAGGAAAGCATTAATTTATAAAACTTCAATAACAGCACTGTGCATTTATCTTGTTAAATCTGTGCCAAAACATGTGCTCCTGATTACAGAGAATTTGATTCAATGTTGAAATTGTGGAAGGGGGTATTTACCAGGCTACCACTATGTACTGAACAGACAAGGACTGGGGGTGCAATTAGGATAAATGATTGAGCTCATTTACGAGAGTCCTCTTATTCATAATAAACATTATTTTTACTGCTTTATCATTTATTTCTCCAGTGGCAGAAAATTAAAAGGCACGTAAAACTCTTTGTATCAGCTACATGAGAAATTACTTGTGGTATATCAATGTAAAGGAAAGTAGCAATACTGCAAAATGTTGATGTTAGTGAGATCATTACCAACATCTTTTCAAGTTGAGATTTCTCTGCCATTAGTTGAGTGACCATAACTTGAGGTGCAAAAACTGACTGTTGGTTGTGCTGGTTAATTCTGAGAAAAAGATGTCAAATGAACTTTGAAGAAAGCCAAAGTGTGCCAGTTGGAAGAGGCAAAGTTTGAAATTTTGGGTTTGGTTGAGCATAATTTTTAGATATGCTAAGTACTGACAATTGTAGTTAAAGCTAATTGGAAATTAGCCTTAAGGTGCTTAACCTGACTGCAAATTAGCTCATGTGTGTAATACTATTAAGGGAAGATGTGGTTACCAAATGAAGGTGTTACAGAAGGGCACGGACCTTGCCCACTGCTTTTCCAAATGCACTTCATGTAAATGTATTTCTAACACGGCTTGATTTCTTCTGCATTTTCTATTATTGGAAGGCTGAAGAGATTGACCCCCTCTGCCCTCCTGTTATGAGGCACCTTGTTAACCTTTGCTGATTTGAAATTGTGTATCTCTGGAGCATTTCACTTGCTGCAGAGAGCAGGACAGTGAGCCGGGGAGACTCGCCGTGTCACAATTAGTGTTGATGTACTTTAGAATCCTTGTGCCTCTTCTGTCCCTTTTTGATTATAAATTAATATTTTCTAGCAGAAAATAAACTATTGTGTACGTATCACTTGCCTTGGAAATGACCAAAAGAGGGTGGAAAGAATTGCAGAGCACCTCAAGTAGTTTGGAAAACGATGAACCCACTGGTTCCACAGTATCTGTCATCTGTTTCCATGGGCTTATCAGTGCTTCTTAAGAATATAAGAATTAGGAGAAATAAACCCAGGTTGCTGTGCCTCTGTGAAATCAATGCCAATTTTGCGCTTGTGCTTCTTAAACAGGAAAAGAAATTAATGGCATGTTGATTTGCATATCAGGAGGGGCCTGACCTGGACAGGATAAGAACAGACTCCTGCAGGAATTGTGTTGTGGTGTTTGCTTTATTTTTTTAATTTATTGCAGATTTGCAATGCTGCTTTGAAGGGCATTTCAAAGCATTTCTTCTTGTGTCACATTAACGTTTTGGTCTGTTTCAGATGTCATGTTCAAAATCAGTACATCTTTCATCCTTAAAAACACCCAGGTGTTGTTCTTCTGTGAATATAGATGGAAAAGTTTCCAGCTCCAGCCCACTTGCCACATAGTTTCAACCATCAAATAGTTCCTTAAATTTCTATTAAGGATTAAAGATTCTGGTCAAGCTCAGAACTCTGAAAGCAAGCAACATTTTATAATGAATCCTATTAGATGTGGAAATTTCAATCAGACCTCTGTATTTGTAGAGTTACACTGCACTCTTGCAGTAATGTTTAACTGGCAGAATTAACTGCTTATGAATACTAAGGGCTTAAAAACAAGGTCTAGAAGCAGCCAAATTTTATGCTCAATTTGAATGACTGAGTTAAAGGGGGCAGTTGTGAGCAGCAGATAATTCAGTGCTCACAGAGTAGCCCTATCTAGTTCTCTCTTAAAAATTAGCAGAGCCATAAACCTATATCATTCAACTGTGGATCTTACAGCAATTAGAAGGTGTAGAAATTTTGGGGAAAAAGGTATTTAGAATTGGATATGCTCTTCAGTGCAGTTACTAAGTTCAGTTAAAAATATTAAATATTAAAAATATTTTTCACTTGTTTTCTCAGAATATAAAGTAATAACAGAAAAATGCACATTTTAAAATCTCTTTTCACCATGGAGTTTTTATGGGTTATTCCCATTCTGGATTATTGCTTGTGGAGAATTGGCAGATTGTCTGTTTTAAATGAAATGCCAGTAGCAGATCTTGTTGAACTAATAAAGAATAAATCTCCATGTGCAGTGCACCAGGAATTTAAAGGTGAAATAGCTGAAAAATAACTGATAAATAGCTTGTGACTTGCATACTAGAAGATTTTAAAGTGTCTAATCTGACAATTTTTAAAAGGGTTGAGGGAAGTCTGAAAACCAACTTGTTACAAATCATTAGGAAAATGGTGGAAAACTAGAAAACTCTATTTTGCTGTTTATAATCTCTGGTTTATCTGTTTGCAGTTCTAGTTCTCTCCAAAGAAATATATCAGAAATGGAAAGAATATAGGTGAAAAATGAAGCCTTTTCATTGGAAGAACATGTTAGAAATTCTCAGCCTGCATGAAAGACAACTGAGAGGGGAATACAATAGCAGTCTTTCAAGTCATGGAGGAAAGGGAAAGGTTTTTAACTGTTTCAAAATGCAAATTGGAGCACCCATAGAAACTACTGCCTTGCAGTTCCAAAACAAGTGCATGACAGTGGTTTTCTCCACAG